CCTTTAAACAAGATTAATTTTTCACTTAATTTAATCTTGAAATTCACTTATTGGGAATTAATTTTCCGACTTCTCTCAGATAGCATCTTTGATATCACACACTATGTTATTGTCACTCACGAACGAGCACCGATTCGCCTCCAATTTCGAGCATTTGTCGCAATTATCACAAAACTGTCAGCGATTGAAAATCGGGGCTAAAATCTGTCACATTTGTGTTTAAAACATCCTGCAATAGACCTTAATCAGGTTAGATGAATAGATCAATTTAAGGCAGATGAAAGCTGCGAGAGATAGACTTGTCTTTACGATAGAAAATATAGTGTAATTTTCACTTATAACTTTCAAAATAGTTTTTTTTTCTCTCTGTAAGAGAGTTGTTAAACAAAAGTACATTCCACTGAACACACTGTACTTCAGCTCCTCACAGCCTTGTCTTTATTCCCGGCAAAATTTAAATATGGCGCTACCCTGACTAAGGTCTATTACTTTCATGTAACTTCTACTTAATATCCGTCAACGTTACAATGTTACAACATTTTTTAAGTATATTCAAAGTGAGAAAAAAACTGCTACTTTTGTGACAGAATGTTTGATTATTGAAGATCTTTTTTGGGGAATGTGTTTATGTCAAAACATGTTTTTATTATTATTTTTATTCATTTCAACACAAACCCTTCAGGACATTTATTTTATTAATTTATTAATAAAATTATTGATAATTTATTATTCTTGGTAATGCACAAATCTCTATAATGCATACTCTCAATGTTTAAACTCATATCAATGTTTTTCTCTGTTGTTGTTATTTATTTATTTATTTTTCCTAATCTATTTATTTGGAAATATTACAGTGACACCTTCTGGCGGAATTACGCAAGGACACAGTACCTCTGCTAAAAATGCTCAGCAAAAATAATGTAAAATTTGCAATAGATTAATCATAATCTATTGCTAAGACCCAAAATCTTCCCTACCTAAATTTACAAAATACCTATAAATATAATGCTGTGAATAATTGTATATATATTTTTTTCGTTTGCCGTCATTTTCTGTTTATTTTTAAATATAGCATATTTTAAAATAAAATAAAGTTAAATTAAATTAAATTGCAAAAGCTTTGTAAACACAGACAATGGGATGGGGGCGTGAATGACAGCGAGAGGCGGGGCTTGTGTTGCGCTGATGGATCGAATCAGACAGAGAACCGCGCGCGAGAGAAGCCACAGCAGCAGCGCATTCAAACATTTCCCCATCGAGACGACGCTTCTGCGGCAAACAGATGAAACACGAGATGCCAAATGTGTTCGGTGGGTGTTTTAGAGGCGGTGATGGTCGGGTGAAGAATGAGGACGCCTGATTTGATTTCTGTCACATCTGATGAACGCGTTTTTCATTCTCAGCGCCTGTTATTGTTTGCATGTTTGGCCTCGTTTATTAACTCCCAACTAAACGAGATTTAGGGGGGAGATCAGATAACCATTTTTAAATAGCGCAAAGCGGAAGAACTGTGCGATTCTTCGCCGCGAGCGTCAACTGCAGGAGCAGAAATGTGAAATTTTTCTCTCGCGCATTCAACCATATCGGATGCTTTAATCGATAAAGGTACGTGCACAGATCAGATACACGCAAATCTACAGGAGGAACCTGCTGTTTTCTGGCAGCTGTCATCAGATGTTTATTTGACTCTCTCTCTCCCTCTCTCTCTCTCTCTCTATATATATAAATATATGAAGAAAATGCATGCAATCATCATTACTCATGCTGATGAACGTGCTGGTTTCACTGGTCATTTATTAGATGCCTGGTTTATAGGTGGGACAGGGTTATATAAATATGAGCAAATTAATTTTCAGTCAGCACAGTGGAAGTCATTAATGAAACATGCCATTAATATAATAATTGGATTGATTAATAATGCATGCATGCAATTAAGCAGTGTTATATTACTGCTTAATGCAACATAATGCTATTTGACAGTCTCTAAAGGAAGAAAAATCTGATCTGAAATCTGAGCAAGGTGGTTAAAGATTTGAAATAATATTAGTCAAATTAATAAGCATATGTCAATGCATTGAAACCAGTCACATGTTATAGTTAATTAACAGGAGCTGGAAAAAATTCATACCCAACCACTGAAGGCTTGTTTGAGTTCTCTCTCTCTCTCATCTTGCATTTCATTTGATCAGCCATGTTTCTAGTGTGCGTCTCAAGTCCTGCATTTTGAAGATTTGGCATGCTGTAGGGTTGAGCTTACTTGGCAAGCTCTCCAAGAACTGGATGAACTGATGAAATTATCTCATTATACATGCTGTTGTCTGGATCAGTGGGGGTTCTAGCTTTAGTGTCCCGGGCGAACCCCCTTTCAGCGCCCCCCCCCCCAA